GGGGGACTGCCAGATGAATGTACGTAACCAATAGTTATTCAAGACACGAACCATTACATCAGTATAGACACGAATTGACATGGCCACTATGAAAACGCCCACACTGACATACGATAAAAGAATCGGTGGTCACATACCACGAGGCTGGAAAAATATATTTCTTTTTGGAATTGGACACGGAGCGAACCACACTCATCAGCCCTCGCAAGAACGGAATTACAACCAAGTAATTAAAGTGGATTAACAGCTTGTATTAAAGGCTGGCGACATTCGGGAAGTCGATACTCACCCCTCAGTGAAAATTAATAGAGGCAAAAGGTGCCGTCACATTCCTTCAAATTCCGGCAAATCCCCAGCCACGTTGTTGCGTAGAATAAAGAAGTTGTGAGCATCAAATCTGGACTATTCATTTAACAGCAATTGAGTCACCATAAGCCGGTAATACAAAATCGTTACACGTAAGTCAGCTACTTTCTTGCCACCATCCATTGGAAACGAGCAATCCATCAACCATAAATAGAGATTCCTGTTTGGACCGACAAACCAAGGTCAAGCAAATCAATACTTAAGTTTGTATGTACATATGTACATATGTGTGAACTCATTTGTTTGTTTTTGGTTTTGATATTCGTAGATGGTTTTAGGCATAGGTATAGTAGTCTATTTTGATAAAAAAGCAAGGCGAAAATTAAAAAAATACTGAAATCATTTTAACTGGGACCGTTGATAACTGATCAACATACATGAATATATGTATGTATAATATACATACATATTTATGGATGATATAATGGCTCTGATCCAACACTTTTCGTGTAAAATCCTGGAAAAAGGTCAAACAGCAAAATCACTCTCTGAAGTGGAAGTAAAAAGTGTGTGACAGCAAACGTACGGAACAAAAAAGCATCGGGTAAAATCTTGCAACTTCAATCTCTACACAGCTCTCCAAAGATCGATCTCATTTACATGAACCACAGATCATATTCCGAAAAGCAAACCTAAGGCTTTCTGCACATTGGTCGTCCAATCATAGTTGATGTTGAAGCAGATGAGCAGGCATTTGAATTTAGTAGTTACAATAACAAATGAAATTTTGAAGTACGCTTACATTGTTTAGATTTTTTTAATTGTCATAATGACATGAACATGTAGATATACTTAAATCTACATGCATTAATGTATATACAAATTTACCTTTCTGTTCCTTCGTTCACTTACCTTCCTTCTCGTTCGTTTACTTACCCTTTACACTTGTATACTTACCTTGCCTACTTCTATTTTCGCTATATACTTACCCCTTCATACTTACCTATTTACCTACTTATTACTGTTCTTTCGTTCTCCTCTTCTCCTTAATATAAGCCGCTAGCTTATAAGTATATAGAGAGCCGCTAGCTAGTGATTGCATAGGTTAAGAAACTGAAATTGAATGTCAAATAAACACTTGAATTGTTACAATAGAAGTGACCGGTCGTAAGTACGTGCTCATAAGTATAAACAACCTAGTCCGTGAATTAATATTCTTCGCGCTCCCGTACAAAAACCATCAGGGTTTAGAAACTAAAAAGGCTTTCGCCACAAATTAGCGACGATTTTTCATGGCGCCCGAGCAGGGACCTAATGCGAAGTGTTTTAATTAACCTACATAAATTGTACTTTTAATCGAAATTTGTATTAAGCCAAAAATAAGAGAAACAAATACTCCTTGTGAATAAAAACAGAACGATTGCGTTATTATTTACGTGTATTAATTTCTGCAAATACATACTAGCTGTTGTGCATTAGAAGCTCAAAAAAAAATAAAATAAAAAAGAACAAAGCTTATAGTTGCCTGCGCGGTCGGTAGCAATACAAAGTCGTCTCGCTTAATTTATATACACATAAACAAACACACAAACAAGTATACTGAAAACCAACAATAAACAGAAAGCAAGCAAATACAAACGGGGCAGTGCAAATAGACTGCAGTGACAGTGGGCCGTGGTGCATAAAGTAAAATTAAAAAAAAAATATAGTACAAATATACATATATTTCACATAAAAAAGAAAAAGACATACTTCCCGTTTGAGTGCTGCTATCAACGTATCTTGAATCCTGCATCCTATATACTCACCTGTGGAACCTTATTCCGAAGCGACTGCCTAATTCTCGTTGTGAATTTCTGCTGTGGACTTAACCTGACCGCTACACCGTTGGACATCGCGGGAATGAACTGCAACTGTATTGTCTGCAAGAGGGACGTGAAGGCTGGAAACAAACCGGTCCATGATAAACAGGTATTGAGTGCGAACAATTGAAGCATACGAAATATTTGGCTTTGTAATTGGTTTGATTATTAAAGTTACTGATACTCGTCTTACAAATAATAAAAGCTTCAATTTTGGGCATTTCTTGTATCCATTTCAATTGCGCCAATTATATATAGGTATACATATTGCATGCAAATATATACCTCGTATATACATAAATACATATTTACATACTGCCTTTGAAGTGAAAGATACAGTGGGACAAGAAGTAGAAGTGCGCGTTTTGTGTTTGAATAATTTTGCGAGTACTATTTTCGATTTGTATTGTTTCGTAAAATTTCAAAAAAATCCAAGCGTGATTTATAGGCTTAGGAGTCTATCGTAATACATACGATATTTTTCGCAAATTTAATTTTCGCCAATTTGCTACTGCAAAGTGAAAAATTATACAACCGTTGGAATTTCTTGGTGTTCGGCAATTGGCTTTCGATCTCGTTTTTCGTTGGTTCTGGTCAAGTTTCATATAAAATCTTTTTGCGGTTTAGTTTCCTAAAAAACTTCCAGAACTATTTTCCGAGCACAAACTTACTGTGCATAAAGGCAAAAGGTTATACTTCTGTTCGCAACCAAGACATCGGAACTCGATTTAAAAATGAGCTAAGTCGAAGAATTGAAGGTGTTTAAAAAGAAACATAGTACGTATAAGAACGGGCCTTATCGAAAAAACCATGTCGTTAGATCCCATCGAATTAGAATGTAGACTTGAAATTTTAAATTCACACAGCGAAAAGCTAATGACGTGTCAATCAAGAATAGAAGAAATTGATGAGGAAGATTTGGCCCGTGGAGAATTGGAGGACATAGTTGTAGAAACGAAGTCCATGATTAAGTCCATTCTCGCAAATAATAAATCTTCTGTTGCCGAATCGTCATTTATTGCACCTCACAGCTCGCGACTCCCTAAGATGTCGGTGCCCAAATTTAAAGGGGAATATTCGGAATTTAAGAATTTCATGAGCTTGTTTGAGAGTTTAGTGCACAACGATCCTACGATACCGGATATCGAAAAATTTAATCATTTAGTGTCATGTTTATCCGGTGAAGCATTCGGCACAGTGAAGTCCTTCCAAATGTCGGAAGAGAACTACCCAAAGGCGTTGGCCAGTTTAAAGAGAGTATATGACAATAAATATCTTATATTTTTCAATACAGTTTCTAGACTCTTTGATCTTACTAAAATTCAAAAACCTTCTGCTTCATATTTGCGATCGATAATCGACACAGTGTCCGCGGTGTATGACTCGCTTTTGTCTCTGGGTGATGACAAACATATTTCAAATGCGATGTTAATTCACATAGTCATGTCGAAGGTTGATCCCACTACTCGGTCAAAGTGGGAGGAGCAGCTGGACTATGATAAATTGCCGCTTTAGGCTGAGTGTGAAGCTATGCTCAATAAGAGGTACCAGCATCTTTCTGCTGAAGAAGCTTCCTCATCCCAGACAAAAATTAATAGTTCAGACACTCGACAGACGACAAGGAATCAACAATTCGAAAGATCGAAGGCAGCATTTATCGCAACAAACTCTAAAGAGCCAACTTGCCTGCACTGTGGTTCAAAGGACCATTTCATTATATCTTGCCCAAAATTCCAAGAGTTGACTGCTCTTCAGAGATTCGAATACGCGAAATCGGTTTCCTTGTGCATAAATTGCTTGCGCAAGGGACATACTGTCTCCAGGTGCAAATCGGATCGTTGTCGTGTATGCAATCGGTCACACCATACCATGCTGCACCAATACCCGATCTCATTTGAGACTGAGCTTCAGCCTCCGACGACACAGGCGATGCATACTAGCAGTGTGCCAGATCGCGTCATGCTAGCCACAGCCGTAGTGTACGTAAAGTGCTGCTCCGGTAGTTATGTGTCAGCTCGTGCTCTGCTTGACTCTGGGTTCCAAGTCAACTTTATGACCGAGGAGCTGGCACAAAAATTGCGAATTCGAAGAGAGAAGTCGACTCTGAATGTAATTGGAATTGGCAATTCGAATAAAAGGGTCCAAGGCAAATTAAATACTTTCGTAAAATCGAGGGTTAATGATTTTGAATTTTCAACAGATTTTTGGGTAATGCGTTCGATATTAGCCAATCACCCAAATCACACAGTGAACACAAATGGCAGGAAAATCCCACAAAATATCGAACTGGCTGACCCAAACTTTTTCAAATGTCAAAAAATCTACATATTATTGGGAGCTGAAACGTTCTTTGATCTGTTATCGGTGGGTCAGATCAAAACCAGCCCAAGGCAGCCAACGCTGCAAAAAACATTATTGGGCTGGATAATATCGGGTAAATATGCCTCAAGTTAAAGCTCCAGTGCACAAGTAAGTAGCATATTATGCCAAGCCGAGGAAAATATGGAAAATATCGATGCCACCGTCCAGAAATTTTGGGCGCTGGAAGAACTACCCTCGGGGGCAAACGTCAAACTCCCGAACAAGCTGAATGCGAGCAGCTATTTTCGAAAACCACGGTTGTTTTACCTGATGGGAGGCTTCAAGTCAGACTGCCTTTTAGAAATGATCGTAAGTTACTTGGTCATTCGTATGAAACCACAGCTCGGCGGTTTCAGGCGCTGGAGAGAAGGACACTGAAAGATGCAGGACTTCGCCCGATGTATTTGGACTTCATGAAAGAGTATCTAGAATTGGGCCACATGAGCCCCACAAACATTATTTCATTCCTCATCAGTGTGTTTTAGGACCGCAAAGCACGACTACCAAGTTGCGCGTAGTTTTTGACGCTTCAAGCCGTACATCAACACAAGTTGCGTTGAATGACATCTTGATGATCGGACCGACAGTTCAAGAAGAGATTTGTTCGCCACTCCTTCGCTTCCGATTGCACAAATATGCCATTACTGCCGACGTCACAAAGATGTATCGACAGATTTCAGTGCACGAAGATGATAGGAACTTCCAGCTCATAGTGTGGAGACCAGAGCCATCAGAACATTTGCAGGTCTTTCGTTTCAATACCGTGACTTACGGCACTGCACCGACACCATTTCTCGCCACACGGTGTCTTCAAATGCTAAGCGACATGAATCTATCGAAATATCCACTCGGTGCCAAAATCATTCGCCATGATTTTTATGTCGACGACTTGCTGACAGGATCCGACGATTTGAAATCCCTCATTCAAATTCAAACTGAGGTGAACAAAATTCTAGAATCGGCAGGCCTCAAACCAGCAAAGTGGTTTTCCAATCACCCCAATCGGTCAAACAGCGAGAGTCATGAGAAGTTATTGCAGCTCAGCGACACAGACTCTACGAAAACGCTGGGAATTCACTGGCAGCCGAAAGATGAAATTTTTCGCTTCATTCTGGAAGACAACTTTAGTGAGCTGCGAGCAACCAAACGAAACATTTTATCGGTTTCTGCTCGCCTCTTCGACCCTCTTGGTTTATAAGCCCCGCTAGTTACCAAAGCAAAAATCTTGCTGCAAGAGCTTTGGATTCAAAAGCTAGATTGGGATGAGTCGATTCCATTGCGCCTCGACACTAGCTGGCAAAACTTTAAAGTAAACCTACTGCAGCTTCCATCAATCAGCATTCCTCGGTATGTAAATACTGAGTCGAGTGCCAGCTGCCAAATTCATAGCTTTTCTGACGCCTCAATAAGAGCGTACGGCTGCTGCGTTTATATACGTAGCCAAACCGCTAGTGGTACGAAATGTACGCTGCTTACCGCAAAGTCTAGAGTAGCTCCGCTGAAGACAAAATCTCTTCCGCGGTTAGAGCTCTCGGCAGCACATCTTCTGGCCAAATTATGGTCAAGAATTTCGGAAAAGGTTGAGTCGACCGATAGAAAAAGTTAGTTTCTGGACAGATTCCGAAATAGTTTTGCACTGGATCAAAACGCATCCATCTGCGCTGCAAACTTTCGTCGCAAATAGGGTGTCCGAAATCCAAGAGTGGACCCAGAATGCATCATGGCTACATGTGCCAACAAAACAAAACCCAGCGGATCAAGTGTCTCGGGGCTGTAACGTGGACGAATTAAATACATCAATATGGTTTTCCGGTCCGCAGTTCCTCCTAGAAGACCCTGCTTTATGGCCACAAAATGTCAATTTTAACCTCTCTCCAGAGCAGCAAGCACTTGAAAAGAAAAAGAACGCAATTACGTTAAGTGCAGTTGAGGCCACAACAAATACACTTCTAGATTTAATTGAAGGATTCTCATCCCACATGAAAGTGCTACGAATATTCGCTTACGTACTAAGATGGCCTCGAAAAACTAGAGATCGAAAGTTAGAATTTGAAGTTGTACCCACAGCAAAGGAATTACAGCTTAGTTTCCTTAAAATTGTCGAAATAGTTCAACATTATGAATATAGCGAAGAAATTAACAAATTATCGAAAAGTATCGCACTTCCTTCTAGCTTGCAGAAATTATCTCCCTTTCTGCATTAATACTCTCAATCGACGTTATCGTTTAAACTGATTCGAGTAGGTGGTGTATCGTTTACTGAACGCGCCCATTCCCTATGATGCCAAATTTCCTCTGCTATTAAGCAAAGGTTCGCACTTTATGAAAGCATATATCCGGTTCCTACATGTTCGCAATCACCATGCCGGGCCCAAAGCATTGGTAGCGCTTCTACGAGAAAAAAATATGGTTAGTAAATGCACGAGAAGCCTGTAGTCGAACTGTTAGAGATTGCATTCACTGTTTCCATTATAAGCCGAAACTGCAAAGTCAGATCATGGGCAATCTACCCGCCGATAGGCTACGAGCCCAATGACCATTTATGATATGCGGTGTAGATTATTGCGGGCCCATTCATATTACGTTGAAAATTCGCGGTCGACCACCCGTGAAAATGTACATTGCCATTTTCGTTTGTTTCGCTTCAAAGGCAGTACACTTAGAACTTGTATCCGACTTAACTGCTGATAAATTTATTCTCGCCCTAAAAAGGTTAATTGAACGCCGGGGGATACCAGCCATGATACATTGCGACAACGCGACGAACTTCGTCGGAGCGGAGAGGAAGCTGAGGGAGCTGCGGGAGGCCTTTCTGAAGCAGAAGCCGGAGATTCTCCAGTTAGACGCCGACGAAGGGTTCACGTTCGCCTTCATACCTCCGAGGGCGCCCCACCTCGGCGGGCTGTGGGAGGCAGCAGTGAAATCGGCGAAACACCTACTGGTGCGCGCCGCAGGCAACGCGCTGCTAACCGGCGAAGAAGCCGAAACCCTGCTCGTCGAAATCGAGGCAGTGCTCAATTCGCGACCGCTCGCACCGCTCAGCAGCAACCCCAACGACGGCGAGGCACTAACGCCGGCGCACTTACTTCTCGGATGCCCCCTGCGAGCCTTGCCTCCGGAGAATGTGCCCTACAGCCCCAACCGCTGCTTAGAGAGATGGCAGCTTGTTTGCTTTCTCAAGCAACAATTTTGGCGCGCGTGGTCGAAGAGCTACCTTATGTAGCTCCAGCAGCGCAACAAGTGGGCGAAACTGCAGCCCAACGTCGAGCCAGGCCAACTCGCCGTCGTCCACGAGAACAACCTGCCACCGCAGCAGTGGGTGTTGGGCCGAATCATGGCAACAATACCCGGCGCAGACGTCAAGGTCAGCGTCGCCGACATCCCAACTAAGTCTGGGATTATACGACGCCCCATTCATAAACTAGCCGTTTTACCAATAAACGAAGATTGAAGGAGATTAGGTCCCTTCAAGGTGGCCGGTGTTGAAGCAGATGAGCAGGTATTTGAATTTAGTAGTTATAATAACTAATGAAATTTTGAAGTACGCATACATTGTTTAGATTTTTTTAATTGTCATAACGACATAAATATGTATACTTAAATCTACATGCATTAATGTATATACAAATTTACCTTGCTGTTCCTTCGTTCACTTACCTTCCTTCTCGTTCGTTTACTTACCCTTTACACTTGTATACTTACCTTGCCTACTTATATTTTCGCTGTATACTTACCCCTTCATACTTACCTATTTACCTACATATTACTGTTCTTTCGTTCTCCTCTTCTCCTTAATATAAGCCGCTAGCTAATAAGTATATAGAGAGCCGCTAGTTAGTGATTGCATAGGTTAAGAAACTGAAATTGAATGTCAAATAAACACTTGAATTGTTACAATAGAAGTGACCGGCGTGCTCAATATTAATTTAATATGCTTTGCAGGCAACTACCTAGATAAGGACGTGCTCATAAGTATAAACAAACTAATCCGTGAATTAATATTCTTCGCGTTCCCGTACAAAAACCATCAGGGTTTAGAAACTAAAAAGGCTTCCGCCACAAATTAGTGACGATTTTTCAGTTGCTTCACCGTAACAATCATGATGCAACGCTTACATGACGACTACACTTTCGCACATTCGGTCGTGATATCT